GATCGTGACTAAAACACCACACGAGTACATACGAGTAACATACGAGTAACACACAGGTACATACGAGTACATACGAGTAACACACGAGTACATACGAGTAACATACGAGTACATACGAGTAACACACGAGTACATACGAGTAACACACGAGTACATACGAGTAACACACGAGTACATACGAGTAACATACGAGTAAAACACAAGAACATACGAGTACATACGAGTAGAATACGAGTAAAATACGACTAGTAAACTTGTTTTTAGTGTTTGTAGATTGAATACAGGCAAAAAGATCGTCTTCTCTGTCGAAAAACGGGAAATAGACTGAAACCGGCTATCTTTAAAACCCGGAATGGGGAATGGGGGGACGGGGAATGGGAGAACGGGAAGTGGATGGAACGGGCAACGGAGGGAATGGAGGGGCGAGGGGGGGTGGGCAGAAATAGGAGACAGGGGTCGGGGGAGGTCTGCCAGATTCTATAAACCACAACTTTGTAGTTTGTACAACATCTACTTTTAGGTATTCTACCTAGATAGATACATGACACAAACCATAGGCTTCACATATTTCACGGCATGGTTTGCTTTCAAAACCCTGTGAGCATGCACAAAACCTAACTCACGAACTGCATCTACTTAAAATAGTACTAGGTGATAAACTTACAATCCTCACATAGCCTCAATCACAACATATGGCTAGGCAAATATACGAACTACGTATACACAGTTAACTTATACCGTGACGACATACCACAGTTCCGAGACCGAAATACAGAACAACAGGGCCTTTTTTAAGGATTTTCCCGTGGGGGGTATTTTTTGAAAAGGGATTTTAGATAATATATTAGAGGGGGATAGCAATGGCCGACGGCCACGGTGTGTGGCCGACGGCCACGGTGTGTGGCCGACATACTCCCCCAGAAAATGTTTTAAATTTGAACCTTTCAAATACCATTTCCTGCTTTATGAGCGTCTAAATTTGCTCTAAAATTTATGCTAATTATACTTGTATTTGAAATAAAAGAAGGAAAAAATGCAGAAAAAATAAAAGAAATATTAAAGGTGATCTACAGTCCGATCTGCGCATGTGCACAAATGAGCCCACTTTTTATGACACATTTATTATACTCTAGAAGCTTGAAAATTTCTTGATCATTTATTATACTCTAGAAGCTTGAAAATATAAATAGTTGTCGAATAAAGCTCAATATTTTGGACACAAAAATGTAAACAAAGACTTTGTTTACATACGGACTGTAGATCGATCACCTTTAACAATAATTTATCCATTACTTATTATTAAAGGGGATAGCAATGGCCGTGGGTCACGTGTGTGGCCGACATACCACGAATGAATAGGGGGGTCTGGGGGCATTACCTCCCCAGAAAATTTTTGAAATTTCAAGCCCAAAAATGCCATTTCCTGCCGTCTGAGCATCTAAATTTTCTAGAATTTACCCTAACTATACTTCTATTTGAAATAAAAGAAGGAAAAAACGCACAAAGAATTTAAAAAATATTAACAATAATTTATCATTACTTAGTGTTAGAAACACGTAGGATGCGCACGCGGTGACACAGTCCTTTAAATCGATTTTGTTAAACAAGGACAAAGGATAAAGCCTAAAACGTACGTTCCGTTTATCAATTTGTTATTCTTCGCTGGTTTGTTTGTATAAATTTAGGAAAAAGGGACTTTTCCTGGGGGGGGGGGGTGAAAGTGAGCCTCAGAACGTGCATTTTCATTTCCGATCAGCCTGCATCAGAGCAAAGTATCCAAGCTTTCCTGGCGACGTTCTCGTTCCTCCAGACTTTCCTCCCCTTCTCAAGGTGGAGCACGTCCAAAGGCTTGCAGGAGAGTTCGGCTGGGTCCTTTAGAAACGTACTTGCCAACTTAAATTGCTAACTTAAAATCTGCGTATTTTGAAGTATTTTGTGTTTTGTTAGTTTTGCTTTGTAAGATATTTAAAATAGGATAATCACTTTAAGATATCATATGGAGCATAAGGACCGCCTTGGGCTTGCATCTGTCCTTAAGTTTGTTTTATTATATAGCAAGTATATTAGTAATGACATAAGCAATGTTATTATTATTAATATTACTTAATGATCGGACATAAGCAATGTGGATTGACTTTTTTATGATACGCTGTACTAATAAAGGAAAGCTTCGCTAAATTTCTTTACTAGTTTTAATTCATTGAGCGGTTTTCTAATTCCCAAGACACCAGAGTCCGTTTTATAGTTTCGTAATTCCCCGATTCCCGTTTATCCTGTCGAATTTCTGTTTCTTTTTTTCTGTTCTTTTCCACCCGTACATATGATTAATATTACGTATTAATAATAATTCATAATTGCTCGATTCCTCCCCCCCCCCGTTACTCGTTCCTCCATTCCCCGTTCTTCGTTCCCCCCATTCCCTGTTCCTCCATTCCCCGTTCCCCCATTCCACGTTTTTCGACAGAGAAGACGATCTTTTTGCCTGTATTCAATCTACAAACACTAAAAACAAGTTTACTAGTCGTATTTTACTCGTATGTTCTCGTATTCTACTCGTATGTACTCGTATGTACTTGTGTTTTACTCGTATGTTACTCGTATGTACTCGTGTGTTACTCGTATGTACTCGTATGTTACTCGTATGTACTTGTGTGTTACTCGTATGTTACTCGTATGTACTCGTGTGGTGTTTTAGTCACGATCATGCGAAAAGCTGAAAATAGACACACGTCACACTGGGAAAAGTCAAAGGTCAATGAAACTTGTTATTGTGAACATGTCACAATTAAGTTAAAATGCGGAAGCGGATGGAGCGGATCCACGGAACGGATATGCGGATAAAATACGGAACGGATGAGGATGAAATGCGTCTTTTAATGATGTAACGACGTAGTGCTTATTATTCATAACATATCTTATACAGCTATTTCAATTATAGTTTATTAGATAAATTTAGCATAGCAGTAGTCTCGTGGGGATGCTTTCAGCGACAGCTGCAAATGCAAATGAAAATTTAGAATATGCAAAATTTGGTTGTTGGTGACACAATAAATAGATGAATTGCATCAGTTTCACAAGGCACGTTTCTGATGTGTTAGGCTTGTTTCAAACGTCACGCTACTCGTATGCCGAGCGTATTAAAAGCAATAAATTATGAGATGAAACGACCCTATATAGTTCTTGCAGTGCCTTTTTAAATTTGAAACTTCACACTATCCTTGGATCCCTAGTTCTTAATTGTTTTATTATTCATTCTTTCGCCGTTAGTTTTCGCGGTTCATTTAACAATTTTGTGATCTCACTGATAGTTCAAGGGCTGAAGAGCATAATTAAATCTTAATAATTATATGTGAGGCCTCAGATTTAGAATCGGATTTAGTATTTAACTTCCTTTTTTGACTTGTGTGACAAATGAGAATTTTTCACCTAATTGGATTATCGTTTAAACTCATAATTATTGCCTTACTAAATTTATATAATTCTAGCCTTATAGGACATATAAATAGACATGCTACTAAAACAGCAAATTCATGTTTGATAACTTTAATCAAATAGATAATGCCGCCAATTTAATGTCACTCGCATGGCATAGCTATTTGAGTCGCGCGACAAGTGGCAAGTAGCAATCAAGTATTTCTTTTTATTACTGTTTTTTTTTTATCATTTCCAATAACATTTAAATAATTATACAATTTAGATTTAGACAACTGGAAAATAAAATGTTTAATTAAAGTTGATTCAATTTTCATCTCAAACAGGCTATCATTGCACAGGAAAATATTTTCAAGTGTTAAATCAACTGGGCTTTGGAGTATCTTACAAATTCAAGCTGTAATCGTATAATTATTTTACCCTGGGTACCAGAGGCTTTTCCACGCTCGCAGAATGCCGCATAGCCAGCTAGGTGAGCTGGAACAACCTCTGAACCTAAGTGGAGCCACGCAAAGCCCTAGAATGGCCGTTGTTAGTCTGGATATCGGATGTAAACTTTGATTGGTTGAAATGTAAAATCCTATCTAAGGGGCATTCTGATTGGATTACAAGCATCTTTGTACCGAATTTTTACATCGTTCAAAAGCTGATATCATAAGAACTGAGAAATGTGGAAATATTGTAAACAGAAACATGCCTTTCGTTCTCGAGCAGATTTGTCTACTTAGGCGAATGATATTACAGAGGACAATGAGGACAGTGGGCGAAAACCATTTAGGCAGCCGGCCAAATTTTAGACGGTCGGCCAAAACCTGAAAATGTGCAACAAAATTTGTTTGTTGCCGTTTTTTGTTACAAGCTGTCAACTAACAATTTCATAGAGCATATGCATTAACGAACAAGACTAAATATGTTGGCAACTCTGATTTTTGCTAATTTTGCCTATAGTAAGTACTATGATCACAAAAATGTGAAATTACTTGTTCACTTTTAACAGAAATAAATGAAACCATTAGAAAATCCGCAAAAAGTATATATAAAACATTTTTAAATGTTTTAAAAGCGAGTAGTACGATTTTCGTAGCCGATTTTGAGCTTTTAACGCTCCGAAATGAAATGCACCAATACACCCTTTTGATAATTACGTCATTTAGCCTGGGAGCCTCGCTCTCATGAATCGTGAGCCAATCTCCTTGCGTAATTTACTAATGAGAGCGAGGCTCCAGGACCAAAAGGTATGTGTGACGTAATTATCGAGAGGGTGTATTGATGCTGATAGTTACTACGATGCCGAACTTTAAGCTCCTCGTAATTGGAAACGAGAGCCTGTATGATACCAATCTCGAAACCAGAGCCCGCAATCCTCTGTGGAGGCTTGCTGAGGCTCTGGGAAACACCAGCGACTTTTGATTTAGCTGCTTTCGCCTCGGCCGGTTACAAAACTCGAAAGCCGTGTCGACGTGAGGTTTCCTGACAAAACAAGAAACGTCTACTTATAGAAGACTACCGCGTAGTTTTCTTTGATTTTGTAACAGTATTTTATATAATGTAGTACAGATGTCTGATGATTGAAATACTACGCCTATTGCATTGTAGTAATATTTTAATTTACAATATTCTATACTGACAAATAGAAGCAAGACAAATAATTAAATGAAACTACTAATGCACCTCCTCCCATTTCATCTACTTCTCATGCAGTAAATGTGGCATACTTTATATTGGGGGAAACTGGAAGGCTTTTGAAGACAAGGTTTAGTGAGCATCGTTGAGCTGCCATGTACCCATTTCTAGATATTTTAGTAGTGACATTCACAGTGTTTCAGATATGAATATTCAATACCTCTGTCCTATTTCTGGCACCTAATTTCCAAGTTGGCACTGTTTTTTCTATAGCTCTATGACTCTATCTCTGTTTACCTGACATAGGCAGATATTGACGGTACTTTTACTGTGATTCCCACCTTATTCCATTCTTGCTTCGTATATTATTTGTTGCAATTATATTTTTATCACCTAGAGCTTCCAAATCAATATATTCTGCAATTAATTGCATTTTATGTTTGCATTTTGTTTTGAAGAAATCCATCTATGTGGTTTATTTTTGTCACGTGATCGCTTTTGTGTTTTCTAGTATAAAAGCGAGTTAGAGGAGGAGGGTTACATCATTGGATCAAAATACATGAAAATCCAAACAAATCATGACCACAAAAACATTTCAGTTGAGTCAGTAGGTTTGAAATATTAGTCATTTCCTGCATAAAGTGATGTGATCCCATGCCAGGTGATGAAGTTGCCATGGCCTTACCATGTTCTTGACATGTTCTTGGCATGATCTTCCCACAAACTTGCTATGTTATATCTTGCGATAATCTTGCCATTATCTTGCGATGATCGTGCCAGGATCTCGCCATCATCTTGGAGACCATCGGTAATATTTATATTTTATTGTTGTCCCAGTGTTTCAAGGGAACGGGGCATATTTTGCAATGTGACCACGAGAGCAAAGCTGAAAAATCATGGGGAAAAGGACATGTTGAAATCTTTGTTTGGGAACAAGAGAACAGAGGAAAAGTTTCTGGTGAACACGAGAACACAAGAACCCCCTAGGAGACCCTCGCTACAGGTTGCCTCCCCAATATCTCTATAAAATACTGTGTACAATATGTAATTGTATTGAGATCTTCATTCTTTTTACTCAGAATTATGAAAAAGATAAGCACAAACAACAAGATGTTAAGGATCCTACGACACCATCCTTGAGAGTTGAGAACAGTTGTACTCTTACTACACAAGAGAAATGTGACTTGCCACACTTTAAACAACTGACTCGGATTATTTTAGAGTCGTTTCCAACACCTGGCAAACGCTATGCTACCATAGAACTGTCAGATGATGACTTAAAAATGCTACAAGAATTCAAGGATAATGACGTCGAGGGGAAAAAGATGTATGATGTGTTAGAACTCATTATTGACATTTTTGAACGTATACAGGAGGACGAAAGACTGGAACAGACATTTTTTACCCGGATTTTGGCGTTTGTTGAATACCACAAGGAAGTGTTTGCTGTAATTTTCATAATCAGTATCCTCATCTTCATTTTATTGATATTTGAAACTCGTACAACCTTGCCTTGGTATCGACAATGTTGGTATCTTTTTGGATTGTTATTTATTGTAAGCATACCATGGGAGTGGTTCAGATTGTATCGGAAAGAATATGCGGAAAAACAAGCTGAACTTGTCAAAAAAATGCCAAGCCATTGTGCTTCCAAGAATATGACAATCACTGAAAGAATGTCGTTATGGATGACTGGTCTGTTGAGTTGGAGCGTTGATGATTGCATTAAATTTCAGGAAGCCATTTTAGTTGATCCAGTGTGGGAAGTCTCTCCCTCTGTGGTAAGTAAACAATTTTCTTTAAATTTTTTTTATATGCTGGTACTGTTATATTTTTACATGCTCAGGGAGCTGTCTTTATTTATGGCCGAAAAGAAAAGGATTGGGTTAATAAAATTCTGTGTGAGTAGAAGGTTGGATAAATGAAAAACAAAACAACTCAAGGGTTGGGTAATAAAAATATTGTCATTTCCAAAGCATGACTCGAACATTTTCCTAACACTCGCATTCTAACTCAGCTGATTAAGTATGGGAAAATATTAGTCAATGGGTTAAAATGAGTCGAAGACGAACTTTGGGTGTGAGCACCCGCACGAATTTTCCGGTGGGTTTGGGTGGCTCTCACTTTGTCGCTGACTTTCAATTAAGTGAGCAAAAAACGAGTGCATATCTGCCTTTTATCGGATCAACTCTCCATTTACATTCTAATTTATCACTCAACAAATCCTTATTAACATTGTTTCAAGCTAAAATATTAGTCAATGTCACTTCTTCACGTCTTCCCTTCCTTCCAGTCCCCACCACAATGTGGATCCCTTTTCCTCAACCC